TTTTTATGTTATATCTGTAATTATTTAAATTACTGAAATATTAATGAAACACAAAATTATTGGAATAAATGTTTATTTAGTTATGCGTCTCAACTTCGCTACATCCTATGTATATGCAATCTAAAGAGACTCTTTTATTAATTTAAATATGTTTTTATTATGAACAATAAATTATTGATGCTTAACAAAAAAACAAAAGCATAAATAAGTGCGAAAAACGCTATTTGACAATATTGAATGGGTTGTATGTAACGTATAAGAATGTACTGATATAAACAATAACATAAAGGAAAGGTGTATTAAAATTAAATTTCTTTATAAAATGGTCTAAATATATCGTTTTTGTTGTAAGAGAAAAGCATATACATTTCAAAAATTTAAATTAAAATAACAATAAAATTTAAAAACTCTCTGGAGAAAAAGGTCGTAACACTAAAACATTGAAAATTTCTATTCAATGAAATTAAAAACTTTTTAAATGAACAAAAAAAACAGAGAATTAACATTCTTAAATTTCATCTCAGAAAATGAATAGGCCTGTACATATGAAAAGTTGGAAAGGTATACTATATTTACATAAAAAAGCATATTGACTTAAACATGTGAATGAATTGAAATTAGAACACCGACCGATGATACCTAAAGAGCAGAATTAAACAAAAAAATAAATGAAAAAAGAAATAAGAGAAATAAAAATAATGAAACAATTTTTTATTGTCGTTTTCAACTTTTTAAAAAGTTAGTCCTTTTTTTTTTGTTTATTTTCAAAAGTACGATTTACTTCCGTTTTATTTTCTCATGTTCAAAATAAAAGTATTCCCCTTCATAGTACATTAAATGATAATACCTGATGGCTTCTCTGTATAATGTTGACTATTTTCACTTTGAAATATTTATCGTCCGGGAATAAGAGACAGCGAATAAAAAGTTCTGTTCATGTTTTTGTAATAAAAAATCAAAATACTGGAAATTCTTTTATAAGTAATTTTCTCGATTTCATATGAGACTTTTATAATATAATATTATAAAAAGAAGTGCCTGAACTCCGGCATTGTATATTGTATTAAAATTTAGATTTAAAACAATTTCAAATTTGAAAGAAATTTAAATTTTTAGAATATTTTTTAAATTAAATAAAATTCGAAAATTTCAATTTTATGCTGCGATCCATACACAATTACTTCCGATTTATTATATAACTTTTAACAATAGAATTTTTTACCCGATTATTATAATTTATATCTCGACTATAGAGTCGAGAATTTTCGTTAATTAGTAAATATAACAGCAATATAGAAAGAGTGGGAGTCAGGGTAATATTGGAACAAATAAAATATATTTTAAAATATGCTTTGAAGAAGGAAAACAAAAATCTACACATCTAATGTTAAATTCTTTGACATAATAACTTCATGAATCCTTTAAGCCTAGGACTTTTATTACAAGGTTGGAAAAAAATGAAAATAAAAAACAAAAGTACACTGTTTCTAGTTATTAACATTTTCATTTGTTTTGTAATTTTAACTTTAATCTCATTTTATTTAGTACTTAATTTAATTTTCATTTCAAAGTTATTGTATAAAGGAAATGTTGCTATATAATATTGCTTTCACATTATATACAGTAATGTAATCATAAATATATACATTATATGCATATATGTATGTGTATATATATACATACTTTAAAAATTATTTCAATTATTTTCGTATATTTCGTATATATTTTAAGCATGTTTTTTATATTTTGGTATCTCATAATTTTTTTGAACTCTTGAGAATTTATATGAAGTAAGAAATTTTTAGTATTTAAAAATTTATCAAAAAATTTATTAAAAAATTAAAAACAAAATTTAAATGATTTAATTTATTTTTGTATTGCTTTTTATTTCGTACAACTTTGTTAATAAAATATGCTTTAATTTAAAAGGATCTTGTTAGCATTTTTATATATATTCTAAAATGTTTTCCAGACAATTGATTTGCATTTGAACAATTTCAAAAACTTGTAACCTCCTATATGTTTATTAAATTCACACTATACGTATACTTTCTTTACCTTTTTAAAGGTAAGTGATTAAAATTTATATACCAACGCGAATATGTATCTTGAAAATAATAATTTTAAAATACATTCATATTTAAAACGAAAAAAATAGAATATTGATTATATCACCTTTGTGATTCCTGTATGAACTTGTTATCCTAATTCTTTTACTTCGTCACCACATTAGCATATCAATTTATGCAAAATTTCAGTACTGCAATTTAAATAAGGTTTTATATGGCAATTATCGCAAAGAGTCAAGAAATTTCAACAATTTTTATTACATATAACAACCCTTATAATACATTTGCTTGTACGAAATTTTGATATTATAACTTCAATCATTTCTGTCATAAAAAATTTGGGATGAGGCAGCTTACCAAACCCCTGCCACAACCGCATCCAATTTAAATAGATTTCCGGCATTTACTATTATAAATCATTTGTAAAAATTTGGTGACCTTCGCTCAATTAGTTTTTTAGGTATCGCAAACGGACAGAAAGTATTAAATCGACTCAGAATTCGACGAAAAGCCAACACTCGCTCTACATCTTAATCCATTAATTATTAGCGTTACAAACTGTTATAGGCAAGTTTATAATACTCTTCGAACATTCGTACGGGTATAATAAATGAAACAATTGAAAAATAATATTCTTTAAATAAATCAAACAAAATTTATTCAATTTAAATTTGGAATGTACATATGGACATAAAATTTTTTCCTTGGTTTCATTTCGGATAAATAAAATTGAACATCTCTATTGTTTGTTCAAATATAACATTGAAAATGAAATTCGTGAAATAATATTTTTACATAAATACTAAACCAATTTATAAGTACTTCAAAAAAAATTTATATACAAAATTTTCATGTAATTTGAAAAGTTAAAATGGAAAAAAAATAAAATGAAAATACATAGTTTAAAATTTCCATAATATTTTTCAACACCCACTTATTGAAACTTCTAGTTGCATCATAAAAAAAAAGTGTATAAAAAAGAAAACAAAATGTTTTCTATTGAAAAAACATTTTTTTTTTATTTTATAAGAAAAATATTTTTTGAATAAATTTGGTTTTGTTATATTTTTAGCATGAATTTTTAAATTGTTTGAAACCTTAAGATAAGAGAAAAATTTTTAGTTAATTATGAATACAAATAATTTTCAATTATTCTAATAAATCGATCTAATAAAATTTGAATATCAAAAAGAAAATTGAAAATAAATGTTGCTCATTTTCAATTTATTCCAAACTTATTTCATTGTAAAAAAATATTGCAGAGTATTAAACGGTTTTAAGATGAAAATTTGGTGTAAGAAAAAATTGAATGAGCACAATATTATTTATTTCTACATAAACTATACTTTTCAAAAAAGAATAATAATTTTCGTATCATCTTACATTTTCTAATAAAAATGTGCAAAATCCATTCACAAATGATACAACGTTCTCAGTCATTTGGTTTTTGACAATAACTAGTTTATAATAATTTATATAATTTGAACACGACTTAAAATAAAAAGTGTTTGAAAATTAAACATGCAGAACAAGGCTATTAAGTTTTCGCAGTCCAATTCTATAACATTAAGCTGCGGTTATAATTTTGATGTGTTATATGGATAATTCATCTTTATATACGAAATTTCAATAGAAAATAATCTCAATGGAAATTTCTATTTATCCATTAAACTTAATAGACGGCTTCATTTCTAAAATATTCGTGGGCATAAATTTATTTGTTTCTTAAATTTGGTATTATGGGATTCTATAGTATACATTTATGTAGGGCTGAGTTAAGATAAACAACGATTTTAAATTAAATTTTAAATTAACAATTTGTAATATATGTGTGTGCGTGTATATGCATTTTAATTTAAATTCTGACAGTTTGAAATAGAAATCTGCAATGATTTTTGATGTATACTCATAACCAAACATTTTAAAATATATAAAATGTACAAATTAAAACTAAGAAAGCACATTTGTTGAGTGTAATAAGTTTCTATATGTATATATACATACATACATATATGTGTATATAAATATAATAAAAATCTGTTTTCCACCACACTAAAATTTTAATACAAATTATGCAAAACAAAGAACGAAATAAAGCATAATTTTATTTTTGAAAGCTTTCACCATTTTGTTTGATTTCATACTATTCGACATGATTTTGTATGAAACGCTCTGCATGTATTAAAGTTATCCTCAACTTCTTTAAGTGCTTCATACATTTCCGTTATATTATTGTGTTATATAAAAAAAAAAAAACACCATCTGCTCCTTTTTTTTTGTTTTCATGAATTTTTTACGAAAGAAATGAATATATACATGTGTATGCAAGTTTGAAGATTTAAGTCATATGAAAAAAACTTTACCGTTATAAATAAAAGAAAACAAAAGCGTTAGAAACAACAGTTGGTTTTGAACAAAAAAAAAATTACCAAGACAAAAGTTAAATGATTTTTTTTCTACTTCAAATTTTTTTAAACATTCCTGCCGTTTTCTCTTTTATTATTTCCTATTGTTTTTATCTATATTTCTGTATATATATATATGTATGTATAAATATCTATAGATAATATTTACGAATAAAACTATATTATCTTTTCTCATTTAAATTGTGTCCTCACAAAAATGTAAAATAAGTCCTGTGCTACTTCGTCGTCATTTTATTTTACATTGTTATATAGCGCCGCACCAATAGTATGAGTGTTTATCAGCCCACGCTTTTGATATTGTACATATAATGTATGTATGTGGGTATTTTGTTACAAATGTTATCTTTTTTTGTTCTTTTTTTTTCTGATTTTTCAGTTTTCATTAAAACTGTGCTGTTACGGAAAACTTTAGATCAGTTGTTGCATATCTTTCGGAGAATACAGAACTGATTTTTATCAAACAAATGATATATTAAAAGAAATAAAATTAATTGTGTGAATAAGTTAATATTTGGATTAAAAAAAAATAAACCAACTAATATTTCGGAATAAAATTGTAAAAGTACAAACAAGCTCAAAAATAATTTGTTTAATTTATAATTAATTCATAAAATGTGGGCTAATTAAAGGCTAAATTAAATTTTGAAAATTATAAAAAAAAATTAGGAAGCACCTATAAGAAAAGAGCTCTAATAATTAAAAATAAAATAAATAAAATCGGTTGCATATTTTCCATTGTAAAGTTTTCCAAAAATTGAAATTAAAATTTATAAAATTTTAAAGATTTAAAAAATAATAATACTTAAATTTTCATTATAAATACTTGAATTAAAAAACTTTCAGTTAATTTTCATACAATAAAAATTTCTATATTTAAATTTTTTGAAACAAGTAAAAAAAGGACTTGATGTAAATGAGACTACAATTACCCAGTAAACAGGTAAATTAATTGTATTTAATGTTACTTTTTTTTTATATGTAAATCTTTTATGTTAACTTTTTTCTTTTTGATTCACTTAAAATATGTATTTGTACCCACATATTATTTTTCTTTTGTTATTTATTATCCTTTTAAAATATTTTAATATTTAAAAATCACGGTGTATAAGTATTCGTATAAAAGACAAATAAAAGCAGCTTTTAATCCCTAATGAGTAATAAGTTTACATTCTCATTCTTATATATTTTGTTCCTGTTGATTTTTTTTTGTTTTTGAGAAATTTGTAACAAAAAACAAAAAAAAATATCCTTGTCACTAATTTTAAAATCTATGGAGTGTTAAGAAAATTTAATGACGGTGCAATGGTTTTCTTTCACATTGTTGTTTGTCATGTTTTTAAGAAAATTTAAACAACAAACAAAAAAAAATGTTGAAAAATTGAATACTTTTTTCGGGGGTTTGATTGAAAAACTTTTGTTACCATCATATTCTGTAAGCGATCCTTTTTTTTTGCCCTCTTTTGTATCATTAAGTGTATATTAAAAAGAAAAACGAACAAAGTTTTAATAACTATTTAATAGGTACATGATGAATTTTTGTGGTACTTTTAATTGTATAACGAAAAAATTAAAAGATAAAAAATAAGGACATAAAATTGGATCAAAAAAAAAAATAAATATTTCATTTTGGTATTTAAATAATTTATGAAAAGTTTTTGAAGATTTTCTTAACTGGAATATTATAATTCCAGTTTTGTAGAAAATCCAAATTGTTAGAATTCTGTTTTAGTTTATGAATGCGTCTGTTCGAGAATGCAACTTGTTATTATTTTCGATTTAAATTTTATTTCTTTCATTTTAATCTCCTGCATTTTACATTCTAGTACACGTATTAGAATTTTCTATAAATATCCGGCTAAATACTAAATTCAACTTGTTTTTAAAAGAAAACCTATATCTTAGTGTAAATTCGGTTTAAAATTTGGATTTTCTTTTTTAAATTCAAGCTAAGATCGTTTTCTCATTTAAGGGCTTTTCTTTTTATCACTTTTCCAGAAACTTTGTGAAAAAAAGTGCTTATATGTTTTAGTCTACCCATTCGTCCGTCTGTCCATCCGTGGACATGTTTACAAAACTTCTACTATTTTCAAAATAGAAGCTGAAATTTTATATGAACATAGATCTTTACTATAAACCTTTTTCGATATAAGAAAATTTTTACGTATCGGCCCCATCTAAAAGTTATTTCCCCACAAAACCTCAAAAATGCCATTTTTTAACGATAAGCATTTTTAAGGCTTCGCAAATGCAGAAAAGTAGTGGCTTCTATCGCAAAATACCATACTTTTTTTTCAAATTTTCGATGTCATTTTTTTTCTAGATGCCAGGTTGTACAAGTCTAAAATTTGAACAGTTTTCAGACACTAATAAATAGTTAAATTGGTTAGAAGAAATTTTTCTCCAACTTATAAATTGAATTCCAATTCATAAATTGTTAATACTAAATGTATGCACTCCTTCAAATACTTTCATAAATGATTAAAATTTTAATTTTGTAGTTCATATCTAGATTATAGAAAAGCAGTATTTTCACTTGTTGAAGCAAAAGTGCGCTACATTGCAAACCATTCAATAGAAAATTTGGCTTTTTTTAATTTTTCTTTATTTTTCTAAATTTATAATTGTTAAGCCAATATATAATTGTAAATTTTGGACAAGTTGTTAATTAAATTTGATAAATGTAATTTATTTTTTAAAAGTTTTAACTTTGCTTATTATATCTTTTAGAAGCAAACACTTTCACTTTTCAAGTTCAAACTTTTATAATGTTCATATAAGTAAATAAACTGAGTTACTTACAACAAAATTAATAAGAGCTATATACGAATTTTTTTATAATAACTGTAAAAAATTTTTAAGTAACTAAACGTTAATAACATTTTAAATTATATCCGATTTTCAAGTAAATCTTCCCACAACAACCAAAAAAAAATTTTTGAACTTTGCAGAAAGCGGGAAAGAAAATCTATTTCCGCTATGGAAGAAACTAATTTCCATGATTTTTAATAATAAATGATACGAAAAAAAGAAGAGTAAAATATTGAAGAAATATTAAAAAATTTTTATTTCCAAAATAATTAAAAAAAAATTTATTAATTTTACCATGTTTCTCCGTTTTTGCAATGGTCGATGTGTACAATTGATAGACAGCAATAAATATTTTATTTTACTTGAACAATTTTTTTTTTGTAATCAATATTTTCTCCATATACATAGTTTGTATAGTATGTATTAATTTTCAGATCTCCGTTTCTTCGACGCTATAGGGTCTATTGAACTTATATATGTATAAAAGCAAAAATGTAAGAATATTCTTAATAAAAAAGAAGCGGTAACATATCGCGATAACGTATTTCTTTTTTAAATTTGACTGTATTATGGCATTATATAATATTCATATGTATGTCATATTTTAAGAATTTCAACCAATAACAAGGTGCATTGCTAATAAGACAATATTTCAGTATATAAGGCATGTACACACATTTATCTGTTTTGGTAAAAAAGCAAAAATTTGAAATTTTAGGAAAATTTTACGACATTAAATATTTATTAAATTAAATATTTATAATGATAGATGTTCACTTACGTATATATATATATATATATTGTATGGATTTCTATTCTCCTATAATAATGGTAAACAAATTTCTTTAAAAAATACATACAAAAAATTATTTAAAATGTACTACTATATAGATTTATTATTATGATCAATGCTTTTGGGTTCAAATACAATAGCCAATGGCAATTAATGTGGTATACTTTGTAAATTAAATTTAATTAAATTATGGGAAAAGGACACGGATAGCTGAATTTTCGGATTAAATTAAACAAATCAATAAATTTCAACTAAAAAATAAAAATTCATACTTGAATATTGTTGTAAACAAAAAAAACCAAGATAAAAAATGGTCTTTAATTCTTAATTTAAAAAGTTATTTTTATATACATATTTGTACATTTTTCAAATTGCACTCAAGGAAAAAATATAATAGAAAAAATATAAATAAAAAAGAAAAAAATAATTTTATTTTCATCCAGTACTTGTATAAGTCTAATTAAATAAAAAAAAAACCACTTAGAAAATAACTTTAATATTAAAAGACCTTCATTTTTAAAACGCTATGCGTAGCATTAAAATTATGTTGGATACAAAATTAAATACATTAGTTTAGAAATGAAAACTGATAAATTTTTTCATAAAACTGTAGATTGTAAGTGAAACAGATGGACAAAGGGAATTTAAATAATTTTAAATAAAAAACCTAATTGTAAAAATTGCAGATTTTTTACGAAATACATTCACCAAACATTTCATGCAACTAACTAAATATAAGAAATGCCGTCATCTTATTGGATATAAATTCATACCATTCAGTTGCGACTTCAATCAGGCGGTTTTTACGATACAACATGTGGTACGATACAATCAGTTAAGATGCCATCAGTCGATATGTTCTTCGTCATTTTTAAAAAAATATAAACGGATGTACACATATGCCATAGGCCGCATTATTTCAGTACTTGTATTGAGTTTGTGTTTCAAATTTTCAAATGATTTTCCACGCTTTTCTGTATGATTGTTAAAGCTATTGTTTTTTGTCAATTTCAATATAATTAGAAAACTGTCACCAATGATACAAAAATTTTTTGTAATAATTTATAGTTTTATATATTGGATTTACTCGAAAATAAAAAAGGGAAATGTCAAAGTTCAAATGACAGTTTTAACATATTTTTTCCATACATTTTGTGTTCTTATATAGAGAAAAAATAATAAGTGCATTTTAGGAATAATTTTTCGTTTATGCATGCTTTTACACAACACATTACAGTTTCGCATGAATTTTTGTAGACAAGAAGAAAATTTATAGGCATTAATTTTTAACAGCTGCAATACTAACCATATGTAAATTAAAACATAAAAAAATTTTCACAGAAAATAAGTTTTGTCTGTTATAATACTCGTAATTATTCATCCGGTAGGTCAGAATATTTTACAATAAATAGATACAATACTAAATTTTAGAATTTAAAATCCCCCTTTTTAACTAATTTGCTATACTCCGCTATAAAATAACTTTTAAAATACAGGAGATATAAAAATGTGTGTTTTTAGAAGTCTATATTGAGAGTTTAAAAATCTAGTTGAAGAATAAAAAGAAGGTCTAAATTTAATTTTGACTTTTTGTTCACCTAAATATTATTTTTTCACTTAATTTTTTATCTTTATCCTGTTCCTGATTGTATATAGTTAATCTTTACCACGTGAAAATTCCTACAAATTTTCTATATACACAATATATGTATGTATAAGGTTTGTTAATTTTTAAAATTCGCAAGCAAAATATTTCAGTTCGTTACCCAAAACTCCATATAAAATTCTTTTCGAAGGCTCTAATTGAATAAATAATGCTAAGTAAATATTTATGTATTGTATATTTTATATATTTAAGAAATGTATTCAATATACATAACCATATATAGAAATAGGAAGGTAGATGAAAAAATATTTACACATTAGCAAAATTTGAAAACCTACATGTGGAGTGCTTTGTAATTAATTAGGATATTTTTTGTTCAAATTAAGATTAGAATTAAAAAAAATTTTGCATTCTTTTGTTTTTTATAAACCGAAACTTTAAATATGCTGGTAAAACAATAACTTTAATCTTTTGATTTTTTCTTAGCAAAAGAAGGAACGGCAGCAATCAAATTAGAAATATGAATACATGAAATTATGCGACGAATCCTAGAATTCTAAGATTTTCTTTACAATTGACACTGTTAGCTTAACAATTTATCTCCAGACTTAAGACTCTAAATTTTAGTTATATTCTGAGAATTTATTTCAAAGTAATAATAAAGAAATTTTCTCAGAAAATACTCAGCATTTTAAAATAATTGTTTTGAAAGTGCGTTAAATTGAAGTAATGC